GTGCTCTCTCTCCTTCTCTCTCACGCGCTCTCCCTCCCTCTCTCTCACGCGCTCTCCCTCCCTCTCTCTCGCGCGCTTCCCTCCCTCCTCTCTCTCTCCCTCTCTCTCCCTCGCTCTCTCTCTTTCTCACCCGCTCTGTCGTTTACTCTCTCTCGCTCTCGCGCTATCTCTCTCTTCCTCTCTCTCTCGCTCTCACTCTCTCACCCGCTCTCTCGTTTACGGCAGTAACGCGATCACACAGCCGACCATCTCCTCCAGCAGTGCACGTGTCGTCGGCAGCTTCCCGCATCACGTCGTCGCCATCACGCGTCGGCAGCGACGTAAGCCGCGGATCAACCGACAACGACGACAATGACGACGACGGCGACGGCAGGCGCGCGCGCGAGAAAGAGAGCGAGAGAGGCGAATAGCGGATTTTGGCGCAGTAGCAGCAGCAGCAGCAGCACCACCAGCAACAACAAAAACAACAGCAGCAGCAGCAACAACATCATCATCATCAGCAGCAGCAGCACCATCATCATCATCAGCATCAGCAGCAGCAGCAGCAGCAGCGTCACCCCCGCGGCGTGGCGTCTGCGCGTGTCAGTCGGCGCGCACACAAACGCTCGCAGCCGCACTGAACGACGTCGCCGGATTACTCGGCGAATATCCGCGTCTGCTGCTGCTGACACCGCGGCCGTACCACGCATGCGCAGCCGTACCACGTGACCGGCTCAAAGGGGGCTTCACGCTCGTGATCGTCACGCGCGACCGCGTGACTTCCGACGATTTGGCGACGTTACGCGAGTTAGCCGAGTGACGTCGTGTCACCCCTGTGACATCACATAGTTGAGACAGTTGTCAAGTTGTTCAACTGAACCGATGACGTCACAAAGTTGACGCGGCGATATCGCGCAGCTGACCCCGATGACGTCATAAACTTCACCTACTGACGTCACGCGTTCGTCGGCAGGTCTTCAAACAATTCCGGTAATTGTCAGTCCCGCACAGAATCGCGACAGACGAAAAATCAGTGATGTTAATCGTCATAGCAACGGCTGCTGCTGCGTCCGTCCGTCCCCGCGGAGCAGCAGCACAATATAAATCGGTAGGCGTAGAACAAATACGTTTAAAACGACATTTAACGGCTTGTGTTTGTGTTGCGTCGGCCGCTAAATGACAGAACGCCGACGCACGCACGCGTCCCCGTCGCTGCTCAATTCGTCGGATATGGCCGACGACAGGCGCGCTTTTGTGCCGACGTCAAACGTCGGCCGACAGACGATAAGAGGTCATTGTCGGTCGGCGCAGACGCTATTCCTGAAGGACGTCGGCGGGAGCACACACCGCAAGCATGTCTCCGTCTGCCTGCCTGCCTGTCTGCCTGTCTGCCTGTCTGCCTGTCTGCCTGTCTGCCTGTCTGCCTGTCTGCCTGTCTCTGTCTCTATGTCTACCGTCATGTTTATTTCGATAGCTAACTAAATTTCTATCTCTATCTCTATTTCTATTTCTATCTATATCTTTATCTGTATAGCTGACTTTATCTCTGTTCTTATCTCTATTTCCGTCTCTATCTCTATCTCTATCTATATTTTTATCTCTATCTTTTTCTCAAGGCGCTCCTTCTTTCTCTCATTCTCCCTCTCCTTGCTCGCTCGCTCTCCCCCTCTTTCGATCTAGTGCTCTCTCTCCTTCTCTCTCACGCGCTCTCCCTCCCTCTCTCTCACGCGCTCTCCCCTCCCTCTCTCTCTCTCCCTCTCTCTCCCTCGCTCTCTCTCTTTCTCACCCGCTCTGTCGTTTACTCTCTCTCGCTCTCGCGCTATCTCTCTCTTCCTCTCTCTCTCGCTCTCACTCTCTCACCCGCTCTCTCGTTTACTCTCTCTCGCTCTCGCTCTCGCTCTCGCGCTATCTCTCTCTCTCTCTCTCTCTCTCTCTCTCTCTCGCTATATCTCTCTCGCTATCACACCCTCTCTCGTTACTCTCGTCTCGCTCTCGCGCTATCTCTCTCTCACATCTCTCCTTGCCACTCTCTCCCTCTCTCTTCGCTCTCTACTCTCTCACCCGCAATCATCTCGCTTTAACATCTCTCTCAGCTCTCTCTCGCTATATCTCTCATCGCTATAATAATAAATCCTCTCTCTCACATTTGACTCTCTCTCATCTTCATTTCTCTCACTCGATCTCTCTCTCTTCCTCTCCTCGCTATCTCTCATCGTCTCTTCTCATCTACTCATCTCTTCATTCTCTACATCTCTCTCTCTCTCCTCTCTATTCTCATCTCTCTCTCCCTCCATCTCATCTCT